GAGTTAATATCCTGAAATTTCGTACTTCCGACGGCTCGTTACGTAAAAACCTTTAATTTTGATGGAAAATTTTTGACTTCTGCCGCGGTTGCAGATGTCGGGAATCCATCGCGAGAAACGAAAGGTGTTGGACGGTTTACGGGCGATTCGCTACGAATTTGGTTGCTCGGTCGGTAAACACCACGAACGTACCGAATGGAAGAAAGGAGTTTCAACGGTGGGGCGTGCTCGTCGAACCGGAAGTAAGCCTCGCGTTTACGCTTCCATTAAAGAAATTTCCACAAATTGTCGATAAAAAAGAACGTAACACACGGTATGCTGGGAGGAGAATGTGGAAGGAGCGTATCGTGTTACGACGAAGAGAAACGTGGAAGCTGCAGACTGAAAGCGATGATGGAAGAAGCTGAGAATAGGTTAAAGAAGAATATTTAATACTATATAGAATACTATTTAACGATACGATACTATGAAGGAATACATTATATATAATATATATAATGAACTTGTAAAGAAACTTCTTCAAAATGATTTTATTTGCTAAGAAATAAAACTTGACCTCATTATACAGGATAAGAGAAACTCGGAGAGATCGACTTGATTTTTAATATGTAAAGTGTGCTTTCCTTTAATTTCTTTGTTAAGTAAGGTGGATTGTTTCAGTTTTGTAAATAGGCTATTTAATTAAAGCGACCAAGTGTCCGTTAATACATATCTTCCTTTTTGTTATTCTATTCTTCTTTCATAGTTATTCTGTCGTTCAAATCGCTCAATTTTCGTACTCTAATCCAAGGTATAAAGCATACAGTGTAAGTGTAAGTCAGTTTGGTACTTCTAATAAATCCGTTACATCGAGTCACGATTAAAACGATCACGATTTGTCGATAATTCATTATTAGATGCTCGGTTGCCAACAATTTTTGTCATTGATTCAATCGATGATCGGTTACTCCTAAAATCAATTTTAAAGTCAATTACATCCTTAATAATAATTTTACCAATGCAACATAACGGGCAAATATATCGAACACACACGATTTCCATAGTTTCTCATTGACTAAAATTCTTTATTCATTATTCTCTATTCGTCGAGCAAGTAACCCTATCCTATCTTCTACATCGTCTATGATCGCTAAGCTCATTTGCTACTTCGTTTTCAACGTGAACACTTTGCCCCCTAAGAAAATAGGCTTACCTTAATCTTGCCGTGATAATTGCAATAATCGTAATAATTGCAATACCATTTCCAAAAGGGTGGACGCAATGAAAATCCCCTAGAATGTACTTACTGCGTTTTATTGCGACCCATAACAATCGTATCTATTCAGAATTCAATGACAATAATTTCTCGGTGAATTATCGTTCGTCCGAACAAATAAGTAGGCAAGTCTCCAGGTGTTCCGGGCCGTATTTAATTCCTAATTGACCGAACACCGTTAATAGAACAAATTTCAAGGGTTCCGTTTAATCGTCGTCATAAACCATGCGCTCTGTCACTGCTGCGCGGCTGCTTGACTATTTTCTCCCGTGAAATGTGCGCTCGTCGCAATGGCCGCGCCACGTTTTCGCGACGTAGACACGTGTGTGTGTGTATGTGTGTGTGTCAGTGCGAGTGCATCCGAGACGAGCTTTATTT